ACCATTGATAGCTTCTTCTCTAGATTTGTTTTATTACATGATAGCTAAAAAGTGTTTGTTATAGTCAGTAAATTGGGCCTGGGATTAGAACCCAAATCAGCCTCCTCCAAAGTCACATGCTTTCCTCTTTATTATGCCACCTGTATACACTGGCAAGTCCTGTTTCTGAATCTTCACTTGAAACACCCACCCTGACCAGCCCTGTGCTCCTTTCCAACTCTCCTGGATCTTGCACATCAGTCATATCCTCCCTCTCCCACCCTCAGCTTCTCCATCTTTGTGAGTCCCTCTTTCTTCCAAGTCTAAGAACTTATCCAAGTCTTTTTCATCCTTAGTTTCATTTCCTACATCTCCCACCACCCCCTGGCCCTGAAACACACACACTAGAACCTACCTTCTGCCATCATCACACATCTGAAACTGCTTCAGTAAGTCAGGAATTCTTAACCAAACAGCCTTAATATTAGATATAATTTATATGAGCTAATTACTAGGCTCTGCACATATATTATCTCATTACTCCTCAGAAAACCTCATAAGATATTATGATATCTCACTTTTCCAGATGAGAAATTGGAGGCTCAGAAAGGCTATATGACCCTGATTTGCTCAGGATCACATAACAGTTAAGTAGCAGAGCTGGATGGGAATCAAGGTTGGGCTTACTGCCAAGCTCATGTTCCTGCCACTCTGCTACAAGGCCAACATTCAGCTTCCATTGATCCCTCTTTTCCAGGGGCTGTCAGGGAGATTTGCTTGCCAAGCTAGGTACCTGCAGCTGAATAATGGGGTAAGAAAAAATCCCTACTCTAGGGAGCTTACATTGTACTAGAGATTTAGACAAGATACTGATCAGCCAAACATCTTCTTGGGGGGGAGAGGGTAAGACTTGAGGCAAACATCTACTAGCCCATCTCTTCAACCTATCGCTAGAATTCCTCTCCCTGAATAGTCTTACTTTATCTGAAAGGTCACTTAGGCTTGGTGAATAAAAGACCCCTATAAAGTCCACCAAACCAGAAACAAGAAGGAAGGACAGAGTAAACAGGCTTCACTCAAACCATCTCTCCTTAAGTTTCTCTCCTGTCTCCTCCACCCTGGGAACATTTTCCTTTCTACAGCAGATCCAGTTGAGTGGAGAGATGCTGACTTGGCCAGAGACCAGGTAGGATGCCCATTTTCTATTTTCAGTCATGACAATTTCCTGGTAACACTCCCTGCACTCACTATGTCCCTGTGCATGTGCTCTCCAAGTGCAAAGAAATTTTATTGAAAGGTGTCTGCTCATGGTTGCATTGTTGTCACATGCAGTGACCTTCATAAATAGCTTTGGGAAAGTCATTTGGGAAAGGGAATAACAGGTGGTTAATGTTTTTTTCTCTCCTCCTTTATTGGATTGTACTCTGATTTGCTATACAAACTTGTGCAATTACCTGGAAATGTGCTCACACATGCCTCCCAACTGCTAACAAACAAGTCAATGACCCAGTGTTGTAATGTTCCAGCCTGAGATCTGCTTGGATAATCCAGTGGAGCCATTTGTTCTTTTGTAATAGGGCAAATAGAGGAGGGCAGCAGGAAGCCAAGCAGAACCCTGAAGTGCTAAGGCAGAGAGAGAAGAAATAAGAGGCTGAAGAGGGTTAACATCAGCCTCCAAGTTAGCTTCCAATTCTTGGTGAAACTCCCAGAGGGAGACTGATAAATCATGAAGTTAATTGCCATCCTTTTCTTTTGTTCCAGGCTGCTAACAAGTTTCGCCCAAGCGGACCAACAGCAAGACATTGACTGCAATGATGAGAATGTATTTAAGGCTGTGGATGCAGCTCTGAAGAAATACAATGATGGAAACAAAAGTGGCAACCAGTTTGTATTGTACCGAATAACTGAAGTCACCAAGACTGTGAGTGAGTTGTGTTTAACCTTGAGGTCATTTGGGATTTGTGCTATCACTTGAACCCAGGACACACACACACACACACACACACACACACACACACACACACACACATCACTAAAAAATCCCTGATAATTAAAGGTATAGTTACAGGTCTTAGAAATGACCAACTCCACTCTCTGGGCTGGGACTTGGGCAGGGTATGACTAGTCCTCAATCCTCCAAGATTAGCCTCCTGGCAATCAGAGGACAGGTATTCTAGGCTGAAATTAAAGAAAGGTAGATGGAGTCATTTGAAAGGGACTATGTAGAGTGGGACAATCCAGAAGCTCAGTGAGGCCACTGAAAGAGGATTTACTGGGTGACCGTCCTTAAACTAAAATATAAAGACCTCCAGACCTCAAAGGGGAGGAGGTGTTTAAAGGGGTATGTCTAACACATACTGTATCATCTCACATATAAATAGTATCTAAAAAAGTCAAACTTAACACAAGCAGAAGTAGAATGGTGCTTGCCAGGGACTTTGGGATGGGAGAAATGGGGAGGTGTTTGTCAAGGGTGCAAATTTTCAGTTATAAGATGAGCCTGGTCACTTAGCTCAATGGTTGAGCATCTACCTATGAACCAGGAGGTAATGGTTCAATTTCTGGTCAGGGCACATGCCCGGGGTTGCAGGCTTGATCCCCAGTGTGCGGTGTGCAGGAGGCGGCCAATCAGTGATTCTCTCTCATCATTGATGTTTCTATCTCTTGCTCCTTTTCCCTTCCTCATTGAAATCAATAAAAACATACTTTAAGAAAATAAGATGAATAGGTTCTGGGGGTCTAATGTTCAGAATGGTGAATAAAATTAATACTACTGTATTGTATACTTGAAATCTGCTAAAGGCCTGGATTTTACGGGTTCTCACCACACACACAAAAGAGGTAATTATGTGAGGTGACAATGTGCTAATTAGCTTATTTGTGGTAATCATTTCACAATGTGTACATATAGCAAATCATCTTTTTGTATATCTTAAAAATATATGATTTATTTATATCTCAATAAATATACCTCAATAAATTAGACTTCCATAAAACTAGGGTAAGTGAGGGACAGTGGGGTATGTCAAGAGGAGTCAGAAAAGAAGTTAATATAGTTATACTATATTAGATAAAATATCTACCATGAAGTCCGGATGGCTGCATGCATCAAGGGTAACAGCAATGTTTAGTTGGTTTTGAATATTCTTTTATCACTGATGGATACACTCAGGTTGAAGATAAATCCTGACAGGATGTGTGATTCCAAGAAATAGAATTGGATGCATCAAAACTATTAGGTATGTGTGATTCCAAGAAATACAACTGGATGCATCAAAACTATTAGGTTGGAGGGTGGGGGGGTGGGAGGGAGGGTTTAGTTGTGATTTTTTGTTGTTGTTTATATGAAAACATTCAGAATGATGCAACTGAAAAGGAAAAAAAATCAAAATCATACAACCTTTAGCTTTATTTCTCTTTAAAGTCAATTATCATTGCTTGATAAAGGAAATATTAAGTAAACCAGGCTCAGCGGACCACTCTTCTCTCCAAGGACATCCCTGGGAGGAGTTTGCCTGGGTGGCTTTAAAAAACAAGCTAATCAGACACAACACAAGAGCACTTAAAGAATGTGTATGGTATCAAGTATCTCTGTGGTGGTTCATTCCACAGGACGAATGCATATTTGACACTCTGCCTTGTTGCATAACTGATCTATTTATTATTGCATATAGTTATCATAATGTCGTTGAGGGAGTGACACCACAGGACATTTTAAGTACTTGGTCCCATGGATGCTCTTTTTGCACTGTTCTTCACATCCCAAGCCCAATGACCTTACTCATACACTATGCCTCTGCACCAACTTTTTCCAACTCCTTTAATTCATTGCAGTCCGTGTTTTCCACCTTTTGTTGTTCCAGTTCAAACAATTAACTAGGGAGACTAACTACCTTGATTTTCTTCTTTGTAGTCATTTTCCTGAAAGTTGGGCCCGGTCTTTGGCCGTATCCATATACTGATCTTGGACACTGTAGAAAAAGTGCCAAATAGGATCATATGACTTGCTGTCCAGCCTTAGTCAATAAACCTCTGGAACTTTTAAACAAAAGTGCACATGTAAACGTCCTGCATCCAGCATTGTTGAGCTGTCATCAACATTCTTGTGTCTGTTTTACTGTTACAATATTAGGTAAATATGGAAGCAAAGGCATTCCACAGGGTCATTTTTAAAAAAGGAATTCTGGTTCTGTTTTCTAAAGAAATGTAGACATTCTTAATTTGTATCTATTTATAGTTTCAGCTTTCTTTAGCTGCCAGTGTGTTATCCATCTTTAGCCTAAAAACCTGGCATAAGAGATTTTTGTTTGTTCTCATATGATCATCTTAGAGCCTTTTATATTTGGAAAATTAACATCTTTCTTTGGGGGAAATTCTTGGTTATTCCGCCATAACAGAATATGTATTAACTTGTAGATTCAGTGGCTTGATACCTATTTAATAACGTACTGATATTCTAGAAGGATTTCTTGCATTGGTGAAAATAAAGATGGGACACAGGGGGGATATTTTTGTTTTTGATGTACCCTATTTTGAAACTAGAAGTCTTGTGTCATGCAAAAGAAAACAAATTATTTTTAAAGAAAAAAAAGCAAAGATAAAAAAATGCAAACTTACAGTAATTTGTTCAAATGAATTTCACTATGTCTATGTGATAATTTACTTCGGTGGAAGAAAAAAATCCATCCATTTGATATGATGAGATTAAACAAAACAGCCCAGTGGGCTTTTTATTTATTTATTTATTTATTTATTTATTTATTTATTTATGAAAGTGACATTGAGCCATTCTGTTTTACCAGCTATTGTAGTCATGCGAGTCCTGGTGCCTTCCTACTTGGGCCTCCTTTCTCTCACCTGCAAAGTGAGGGGCTGGGCAACAGCACCTCTCAGGTCTCTTGCTGCTCCAACGTGCCAGGATTTTGCATCTAAAAGCTCATCTAACTCAGAATCTTAAGCTTTAAAAGTTTTATTTATTATTTTATGACATGTTAGAAAAAAATTGAAAACAAACAAAACCAAATAAAAATACTAAAATTACCCATAACTAATCCCATCATCCAGAGATACCTGTTAACATTTTTTTCAAAAAAATGAAAGAAGAAAGTACTCTTGTTTGTTGGTTTATTTTCTAATTGTAAAAGTACTATATATTTGTTTTCAAGAAAATACTCAGACAATTTAGGAATGTTTGGTTAAAGAAGAGAGTAAAAGATAACCATACACCTACCACTGAGACGCAGTACGTTAACAGCTTTGCTGCATAACTTTCAGGCTTTTAAAATCATATATGTACACGTAAATTGCTTTCTACAAAAATAGGCTAATACTGATATACTACTTTGTTACTTGAAAATACGTGTTTATAAATATATTATGAACATTCTTCCAAGTATTTGTAACTTTCATTACTTTTAGTAAATGTTTTGCTCTTGTTGAATTAAATCAATATCAAACATTCATAACTGCACCAGATCCCTCTCCAAAGGTCTGCTGTTGCCAGATGAATGAGCCCTATGTATGTTTGATTGTTTTTTTTTTTTCCAGGAAGACGAGAATATATTTTATTCTGTTAAGTATGAAATCAAGGAGGGCGACTGTCCTGTTCAAAGTGGCAAAACCTGGCAGGACTGTGACTATAAAGAAGCTGAGCAAGCTGTAAGTGTGATGGGCCAGAGTCTCCAATTTTCTCAATCGAGACCAAATTATTCTATTAGTGCTGGGAGTGATGAGTACTGTGGAGCCTGTTTGTGAGGGGCTCAAATGTGTACAAAAGTGAAATGGTTGATGTCTATGTTCTTGCACAGACAGAAAGGGCATGAGAGGCCAGCCATGAGATTGGAGAAAGCCCTCCCATGAAGAGGGGACTCCTATGACCACTTGGGTGCTTTATTTGTGCAGACCTGAGTTGGAATTCTACTCTGCCTCTAATTAGCTGACCACATTTAACCCATGGGCTCCCTTGTAAAAGGGAGGTAAAATTGACTTAAATTGGAATGCATCTTAACCAAATGCCTACCATCTGTTTGCCACACCACAGCTGTTGTTTGGCCTTACCTGAGGGAGCTAACAGCCAGTGTCTGCCAGGAAGGAAGCCACTCTTTGCACAGTCCATGAACTCACCTCTTAAATGTGTCAAAATGTTATTGGTGGAAATAGGGTGTCCACTGGTGGGAAGTGGGGGATCCCTTTCCTCGCTGGATGTTGAGGGTCAGGACCTCATGATATCTTGAGAAAAAGAACTTTCTAAGACTCACACAGGAAGATGAGAGATCTTTATTTGTGTGGAATAACATATCTGCATTTCTAAAGTCCCATTTCCCTTAAACCAGTCCTAAAATAGGTGCAGCCAAACCAATGTCCCAAGTTTCCATTCCATGATGGACCTGGGTCCGGCACAGCATCAGGCTAGTTCCCATCCATTAGTCCATTGTTTGTGTGGGTGTGGGGGGGACATATGGCTGTGGGCCATGTGGGTATATGCAGGGAAGTGTGTCGCCTGCAACAAGAAAGCCCAGAGCCACAGTGTGCAAGAGAGGCAAGAGAGAGAGAACTCCTTTGTTTAGGAGTTTAATATCTTCCCGTGCTTGCAGTGGCCACACTGACTATGTTCCCAGGGGTGATTGACAGATAAATACCTTCCCTAGGTCACCCAGACGTTACTGGGCATGTGTCTATTTGGCCTTCCCTTTGTTCCCTTTGCTCCTTTTCAGTTAATACCTGGTTATTACAATGGTATCAAAAGCACCACATCCTCTGTGCAGTTGAACCCTGAAGTTGAACTATAAGAGGAGAGGTGGGCAGGCTAGTTTTAGGGCACTGTGTTCAGCTTGGTGAAAAAGAAATATCTCCAGTGCTCCAAACATAACATTATTTAACACCTCATTATCTATATTGCCTCTCCTCCAGAAATTTCATGAATATCAATAACTTGTAAATAATAATGATTAGGCTATAAAAACACTCATTCCTGTGTCTCAAAACTGTTAGAAAAAAATCTTAAGTTTTAAAGAAGGGAAAAGCCATACTTAGCAACAGCACTAGGTGCACTTCTTCATCTGAAAGATTAAGATAAATGGTTTCTTTTTTCTCTCTCTCCCTTCTTTCCTTCCTTCCTTCCTTCCTTCCTTCCTTCCTTCCTTCCTTCCTTCCTTCCTTCCTTCCTTCCTTCTTTTCTTTTCTTTTCTCTTCTATGTTGCAGCTCAAGGCCAAAGCCAGTCTAGAAGCAGAATTCCTCCCTCCTTAGGATATCTGTCTTTCCTTTTAGGACCTTCAACTGATTTCTTTCTTTCTTTCTTCCTTTCTTTCTTTCTAGGCCACAGGAGAATGCATGGCAACCATAGGGAAGAGACCGAATAATAAATTCTCCGTGGCTACCCAGACCTGCAACATTATTCCAGGTAGCTGATGTATAGGGTGGCACTGCCCTGGGGGGAAATGAACCATTTCCATGTGGGGCCAGGAGCATAACCTGGACAAAGCTCCTTCCCAGAGGGCAGTGGGTGGCTGTGCAATGCCATTAGCAGCCTTTTTGTTGGGGGGGGGGGGGG